TGAGGCTGAGCTGGAGGCGCTTTGGGAGGCAAAACCTCTCCCCGGTTGCGTGCCTCGCTTCGCGCAATCCCGCGGTTTAGCAAAAATGACTCAGTACCGATTTGGCATGGATTTATATGCAGCCAGGCACAAGCTGACCTGATAAGGGTTTGTGCAACTTGTGGTTTTTAGATTAACCCAGCAGCAGGCCATCTAAGTCGTACAGCAACGGTCTGAGAATCCTTTGTGTTAGCTTTGTGCAAATATTGGGTTGGGGATTTTTGGAGACCTCTGCCAGTAAGTAGCTGCCTAGGTCAAGGAATGCTGCTTTAATACAAACGCTTTTCAGTTAAACAGGCTTAAACAGCAAGGCAAACTATACAAGTGTGGAATTGCAATTCTTGGGGAGCAGGGGGCGGTTTGCAGTTTGTTTAAGCTGGATTGGCTACTAAAAATAGTATTGGAAAGCCAAAACAGAAGAAAATGATGCAGATGTGTGTGACGAGAAACTTTTAAAGGAGCTGCAATTAAATATCACATCTTGTATCAGATGTATCAGAAATATCTCTGCAGGTACACTATGCAAAATCTTCTGCTACTTCTGTTGCTACACGTATGTCACTGGCAGCTTGGACTAGGAGTAACATTTAGCATGAAGCCCGTCTCTATTGAGCCTGTATAACACTTGAGTAACTAGAATGAGAAAGGAAAAAGGTCATTTGTTTGGAGTGCTGACCGCCTGACCCAGTTGCTGGTGAAGTTTTCTGGGTGTTGATTGAATTCAGAGCTGGCAGTGAAGGCTACAGGGAACGGTAAGTATGGGCGCTTGCAGTCTCTTTTTCCCAAGATAGGCAGCATTGAGGGAGAAATGAACTGACTTTGGTTTTAAGATATGATGCTTTTGGTGTGGCTGGACCTTAGCATTATTAATGTTTGCCAAGGTGAAATGGTGCTATAGAGCTGTTAATATACCAACATTTCTGTAAGTCGCTGCATTCTTGTGGAGCAGTAGCTAACAGGAGTTGGCTCGAAAAGCAATCCGTGTAAGAGTGAGCTAGTAGGGGGTTTTGTTGGAGAGAAGCGGAGCTGCCAACTAGCTCTGCAGGTCACACTGCCTTGTGAGCAGTGCAAGGGTATTTTGTGGCTAACGGACAGGCTGCTGTCCAGTTCCATTTGTTAATCCTAAGAATTGTCTTCAAGGAGACAGAGAAGAAGTAAAAACATAGAGGGCACTTTTTGTGAAGAATAACCATATACACATCCACATCTCACTCATTTCTTCTCTATTTGGCTAAAATCTGGCCTGTGATGAGGTGAGTTAGAATTCGGTGCTTATACCCCTAGATGACAGAACAGATGAAGAGCTATATGTTAGAAACATACCATTAACTTGATGACAGTGAGTTCTAAGCTGTATGCTACTAGCTTTTGATTTCATGTCTCTGTGCGTAATGGACCTTAGGGTGTTTCTGCTTTACTTAAGAGCTGATGGTGTTCTTTAATTGGATAGCTGTCATGCAACAGCAGTCTCTTCAGAAGGTACGATAAAACCAAATCACGCTATCTGGTGCTCTTCTGCTCAAATGCTGCTGTCTTAAGGGAACTTGACAGAGAATATCTCTGTTGCCACCAACAGCATTCCAACATGCTCCCTTCAGCGTCAGAGGTGATCCCCTGACTACAGGCTAGTAAGTAAGAGCTGCAGAGGTGAACCACTGTATTTTATCGTAGTTAAGAGCTAAATAGCCTTCAGGAAAGGAGGAGTCATTACCTACACCCAGACCACACAAACTAATTCTGCTGCTTATCCCATCTGTCTCAGACCGCCCTGGTATGCTGGACTTCAAAGGCAAAGCAAAGTGGGATGCCTGGAATGCATTGAAAGGTAAGTGTCTCCCTAAAAAATAAAAATGAATAAATAAAGCCACAGACAAACTAGTCAGAAAAGCATATGTGGTTCAGCAAGCAATAAAATGGCATTGCCTTATAAGACAGGAGTTCTAGAAGTTCAGAATGCCGTGATAATAAACTCTTACTTTTGATTACCTCTGCAAGGCAGAAGTAATCCTGAAAAATGTAGCCCGTGTGAAAGGGAATTAAGGTGCAAAATGCCCAGCTGGCCCAAGATGTTATACAAAGGAGAACTGTAGCAGCAACAGAAACCTAAATCTGTCTGCCAGGTCCCCACCTAGTACCCCAGAGACTGAGCTCTCCCTCCAGTTGTTGGGTTTCTTCTAAAGTTTTCCTAACTGGAAGATGCAGCTGGGCTCTCTGCTCTAAATGAGGAGCTGAACAAGTGGTCTACTCTATGAAAATGGGATTTTTCTGGTGCTTTAAGGAGCCAGCACTACATCTAAATGCAGTCTAAGTTGATTGAATAGCTTTCCTGTAATAGTTGCGAATGGCATTAATAGAACTAATACACTGTTTAGTTGCTGTCTATACAAATATAACTTTGCTTCGAAACACTTTTCTCATGACTGCTGAACACATTTGTTTAAAACTTTGAGACTAGATTGACAGCCAAGTGACCTTATCTTCTTTGCTCTCTGGTAGCATGCTGCTATGTGCTATAGCAAGGAATTGTGACAGATGTAAAAGGTATCTGACTGCTCCCTGTGTTCTGTCCTTCAGGAATGTCCAAAGAAGATGCAATGAAAGCTTACATAGCAAAAGTGGAAGAACTAAAGGGCAAATATGGCATCTGAGGACTGGATATAGCAGCCACTTGCACACCTGAAACATGCCTTATTTCTAATACTGTGGAAAACTGGTTTCTGAGAATAATTTTAAATACCTAGCATATTATAGTCGGTTCTCTTCATGCCTGTAGTTCAGGGGAAGTTGTGTACCTGCCTAATGTACTGACATATCATAAATTCCTTCTGGGAACAAAATCTGGAACTCATTAAAGTGCATTTGGTACTTTAGCATTTGGTTGTGATGGTCATCCCTTAGAGATTATTCCGAGCTCATCCCTTAGTTGCCATGTTGCAGCTGTCAAACACTTCTTTGTAAGGCACAAGCTAGCATCTCCAGTCCTTGTGCCGCTAGAGGGGGCTCAGTAATCTGTGTTTGGTGCAGTGCAGACTTGTGTCCAAACCAATCTGGTGATGTCCGATACTGCTTTGCCTCCTTTCTCATGTAGATGAGTGGCAACCCACAAAAGCCGGAGCACCACAAAGATTATTGTGACAAGGCTGGGTCTAATGCTGTGTATATCAAGAACAAGGTGCTTGATACTTGTTGCCTGGGGCTTTCAGAGGCTTAGTCAGAATTGCCAAACTGTCTTTCATAAAACATTTCTTGGAGATGGTTGTGGTTTAACCTGAGTTGGCAACTGAGCACCAGACAGCTGCTCACTCATTCCCCACCACCGTTGAAATAAAAACAGTTTAATAAATTGAAATAAAATAAAATCCTAACAGTAAGAAGAAGGAATACACAAAGCAAGTGATGCACGATGCAATTGCTCACCACCTGCCAACCGATGCCCAGCCAGTCCCCGAGCAGCGGCCCCCCCCGGCCAGCTTCCCCCAGTTTATGTACTGAGCATGACGTCCCATGGTATGGAATGTCCCTTTGGCCAGTTTGGGTCAGCTGTCCTGGCTGTGCCCCCTCCCAGCTTCTTGTGCACCTCCAGCCTGCTCAGTCGGTAGAGCATGGGAAGCTGAAAAGTCCTTGGCTAGTGTAAGCACTACCTAGCAACAACTAAAACATCGGTGCCTTATCAATTTTGTTCTCATCCTAAATCCAAAACACAGCACTGTACCAGCTACTAGGAAGGAAATTAACTCTATCCCTGCCGAAACCAGGACGGAGATGTTACTCCGCAACAACAATGTCAGGGTTCTGGAGAGAAGGCAAATACTCAGCACCTGAACACAAAACCTTCCCTGTGAAAAGGTTCTGCAGGCAGCGGAGTTCTTGATGCCCTTGATACTATACTACTGTAAATACAGAGCGCTGGTGTTGCCGTGTACTGGGGCTACAGTGAGGGGTGAATCAAGTGTAGATTGGCTTAACGCTTACAAGGCTGTTCAGACAGGAAGACTTACGGTGATCACCAGCAAAAAGTTTTGTATAGAACACACAGCTGTGACCATCTCTAGTAGGCCTTCGGCTATTTCTGTCTGCCTAGCACACTCTGCTGGAGTTGCTGAGGCCAGAAAGGGAGACTTTGCTTTTAAAATGCGGCACTGAACTATTCCAGCGTAGAGCATGTGAGAATAAAGTCACAATCTTATACAGGAATAAGGCATTCTGTAAAAGAAATATAATTCCCTGCTGTACTGGTTAGCATCTGAACAGGTGAGGGCTTCAAATCAAACTGCCTTCAGATAAGCAACTGATTTATAGAAATAGATAGGGATGAAACCTACCATTACATGTCTGTCTAGGTAAATACATAGTTCAGTACTAAGTTACACAGGCTTTGCGGTGTGTAGTATCTAACTTGTATTTTCTTATGCCACTGGTAAGAGATGGAGGTAACTTTACCTCACATGCTTTCAAAAATGATAACTTCCTCCTTTGCTATTTTTAATGGGCAATGCTCTTGGAGCTACTTGTTCACCCTTTAAAATCTGTTAGGATAAAGAAGGGTTTGTTCCCAGTTCTCATAAGGAAAAAGGTTTCTTATTCTTGTTGTTCTGGATAAGTAATATAAGCATTTGGCTTTTTTACCTCCTCTTGTACCCTCTGTTAGCTATTTGAGATTGTTGATTACATTTGCCTTACAAAAGAGGGCTAAGAGCAGATGTTCAGCATAAGGGATGATTTTAGCTCTTTGCCAGCCCTAAATTCCACAGCCAGCTCCATCTTCACAGCTCTATTTTGTGAAGCTGGTTATCCTTGGAGGATTCTGCCAACCTGTAGCAGTAACTCGTACTGGCAAATGCTTCCACTTCTGCTCTTGTTTGCTGGAAGTCGATGTGCTGTGAGCATGCCGTGCTTTGCTAACGTGCTTTCTGTCAAAACAGGTGTTTTCAGAATTTTTGACTGCTAAAGCAGCAGAGTTGGATTCTGTCTAAAGAGTGGGCTGGGAGTAGCAAGTTCTATATCCTAGTCCTCGTTCAGCTTTATTTCCTCTGTGAGACTTAACTACTCATTGCAGTGCTGCTCTCCTTTCTCATACCTGTCTGGCATTAGGAGAACATTGCTATGTACACAGTGCTTATCCCAGAGAGGGATCGGTCTTGGCCAGACTTTTATACATCGCCTTGTACTTAAAATGAGTGCTGTTTGCCGCTCTATGCAGGTGATGGGGAACTCTACCTCAAATGTCTTTATTTGGGTACTTTATTTTTACTGTAGTAACACTTGCTTCCTGCTTGCAGCTTCACCTTCCTTAGGAAAGTAACATCAGTGGTCTTACTATTTGGAGTAAGCTGAAAAATTGAGGTTGTGGAAGTGAGAGCTATGCAGTAAGAGACTGTATGAAAGGCACTAAGGCAGAAACAAAGGTACTGATGTCTGTGCACAGTGTTTGTGACAAAGCAGCAACAGAAAAGTTGGCTGCACAGCCATTAACTGTGGGTACTACCACTGCAGGGAGAGCGTTGAAAAAGGCTGAACTGAGTCGGGGGGGACTGGTTGTTCAGCAGCAGGGTGAATGTAAATGCAGGGGATGGTGGGCTGCCTGAAAACGTTGCTGGCTTACTGACCGCATAGTGCTTGCTGGTATGGAGTATGAGACTCCTGGGCTGCATAAATAACACTTTGGCAGTAGTGATGATAGAGCGAGAGTGGCTTAAGGACACCTACAAACTGATCTGTAGGTAGAGGTAATTGCTTTTATTAAACTAATACAGTGGTAAAAATAGACAACCGTTAAGGCATATAGCCTTGAGATTTGAAACAGAAGCAGCAGGCCTTGAACCGAAACATAACTTCAGAACCATCGCTCTGCCTGTAATAAGGTGGTCTTGATGGAGGAACAGATGCTTCTGATGGCTGGGCAGTGCTGCAAAACAGGGGATTGTTCTGACACCCGTTCAGGGAGTTGCTGCTATTTCCTCTGTGTTAGATCAAAGAAAGGCCAGCAACATCCTGATCCTTGCCGTGCTTGCGAAGGGGAAAAGACGTGCACTGAAACAAGCCCAACACGCAGGAGGTCAGAGGCCAGCTGGCACGCATGCACTCAGGTCTGGTTTGCTGAGTTTGCGGAGTGTGCAGGACAGAATCTGGACTTTGGATATGGCAATAATAAAAGTTAACTTGCGTCTGTGATAAGACAGTGTTCCTTCTATCGCACTTCTACTATTAGTTCTTGCACAGAGAAACTAGTTGATCGGTACCCAGTGCAATTAGAGATAAGCTGTAAAGGGGATGTTGTTTTCCTTGGTATTTTTTTTTTCTTGTGGGTTTTGCTTGCTCTTACCAAACACATGTGAAGGTGCAACACCCCTAGCACAGATTTAACAAATCAGTATTGGTGTGCTGCTTAAGGCCCATAATGCATTTTTCAACCCTGCAAAGTTAAGTTTTCTGTTTGACTAAAAAGCACTCGGAGGCTGACTGCGGTGTGCAACTATCGCTCTGTCAAAACTCTTCAGTCCTCATCTGGAGTGATCTTGTTTCACAATGCAAGTATTTTAACCTTTGAACTTATTTGACCCTGATGATACTGCTAAAAGCAAATGACAATTGTATTTGCTGTCGTTTAAAATATTTGCTCTGCCCTCTGAGTGTTCAGAGTAAACAATATTGGGCAATACCGCTTTGGGGTGATTGGGCATCTGAGCCGTCTTGTGGGATTGGTGGGATTGATTATAAATTGGGGGAGACAAAAAAGAAAAGGCATTTTGGCTTGGATAGGTTTCTAAATACCACAGCTGTCACCCAAAAAAAGGTTATGCAGTCTTCCAAGCTGTCAAAGCTGCTTAGAGGTTGATATTACATAGACATAACACGTTTGAGTGAGAGTCACAGTAATAAACTCAGAAGTGTAAAAGTTGATAGAATAAAAGATAGAATCTGATTATTTTTTCCCCCTACCCATAAGTATATGAAGTATCTTCAGACTCAGATAACTGATTTAGAAATTAGCCAATCTTCAGCTGCTCATTTAAAGTGCAAATAACATCGATCCATTCTAGGCACAAGTCTGTCTTCATTTATAAGATGAGCTTGTATTTCCTCTAGAGCCAGCATATCTGTGAAAGTTAGACACAGCTTGGTTGTGTTATTCTAGAATGGAGAATTCATGTGGAGTTTGGCTGAAGTGGTCTTTTAACTTTCATTCCCATTTCCATCTGTGGCTTCTAGATTTTTGGTTAGTCCCAGTACAGTTACTTATATTTATTTTTCAAGGTCTGACCCTCTTAATGCTTGTTAGAGCCGATTCATCTCTTAGAACCATCCTGCCATCCAGTGTAGTTTTAGAGCAATCCTTTGCTATCTCAAGAATACCTGAAGATGTCCAGAGTTGTTCTCAAAATCATTCAATGCATCTTGCCTCTAAAATTTGGAAGCCTTCCGATACTTCAGACTGTCTAGAATAATGGAGAAGCCACTGAAAAATACAGAATTGTTAATGAGCATGGGCCTGAGGGGGAACAGCTGGTCAAAATTCCTGGAGCTTGTTGAGCTTATGAAAGAGGTGCTATGAAAACCTGCCTGGAAGTGGAATCAGTGGCTCAACAAATCCCTTCCAATCCTTATGTTAGCGAGGATTACTTTAGCTCTAAGTACTGCCACTGCAACGAAAAGCTCCTTATTGTTATGTAAAAGAGCCCAGAGCCTGCACTGGGATATGGAATGATCTCTCTGCCCAGTCGGTTCTAAGCCCGGAGCTTGTTCTGTTTGCAAGCCCGGATTGCCTCAGACAGGTGATTCCACGCCCTGGAAAGAATGAAAATGACATTACTTGGCTAACGCAGCCGGGGAGACACCTTGTTTGTCTCCACCAAAGCGTGCAAGACACCGACTTGTACCGTGTTCCCCAAAAGGCTGAGATAGTGGTACGCCATCTCCTCCTAACAAACACTGCTTATTTGAATGAGTTCTGAATCCGAGAGGTGAGCTTACCAGTTTAACGTACTTGGTATTTTTAAATACGAGTATTTAGCTGCAGTGATCTGAGTTTTTACCGGGAGAAGAAACATATATATGACAGCTGAGAAACTGAATAATATGGTTTCCCCCAGCTTACGTAGTATTGAAATATGGACCCAAACTTTTCTAGTAGTGCTAAAAGGGCTGGAGTTTTATTTTCTATATTGAATGTATATTTTAAAGCATCAATTTGTTGCAATGGACAGATGCAAATAGTTTGAGGTATGTCCTAAGCAGAACGAGCGAGCACCCAATGTTGGGTCTCTGCAGTATGATGCTGAGGTAGGTCCAGAAACTGATCAGAACTGAAAAAACAATTCTTTCCAGGACACAAGATGTATTCCTTTAAGCCTGTCCTCCTCCTTAAAGTCTCTCTTCTTATTCTTAGAGTTAGTTGGGGTGGGGGGTAAAGTCACTGTAACGAACTGTCATATTATCAGCATGTTTCTAACCCAGCTGTGAGCGCCGGAACAGGTACCATTTGATTCGGATGAACAGTAGGATCCCAGACCTCGGCGGCGGGTATTATTGCCATGTCCAGCAGCCCGGGTCTCTCGCGCACGTCCAGCAGTGAGAGGGAAGTGGGAGAGCCTGGGGCTGCGGGGACGCGTGGCAGCCCCCGGCTGGGTAAGCAGTCTGCCTTCCAGTGGCACCGGAGAGGTGTCCAGGCGGGAGGCAAAGCGAAACCATCTGGCCCAGGAGCTGTCTCCTCTTTACGTGCTTAACTGCATCTCTTACATGCTAGGACGAGGCTGTCCGCTTGGCTGCAGTAACCTGCAGCGGTGGGAGGAAAATCGTGAGCGAAAGTCTTTGTGACAAGGGGTTGGTCGGAGCTGTACTGGCCTCGGTACAACCCAAAACCCCCTTATGGTACATATGCTGCCTGGGGCGCTCTTCACTGAGGATGATTGTGCCTGTGTTCCCAGAAGCTGCTGGTCTTGAGCAGCTTGCCAGCAACTAGCTGACTTTTTGCCCCATTCCAGAAGCTCTGTTTCAGCCCAGCTAGGTTGAACCCAGCCTGAGCTGAATGCAGCTTCTTCAACTTGGATTTTCAATCTACCGCCAGGAAAACAAACAAACAAACCAACCTGCAAAAGAACGGTGACACAAGACAGCTAGCCTCTTTCTTCTTCCTCATAAAATTTTCTTCATGCTCACTTTTTGGGGAATATACGAATAAAAGCATTTTGCCCCTCATACAGGCCTCGGGCATGTCCCAAAGACTCAGTCTGCAAGATGCCAAAGATCTATTTATCTCCAAGATCAGGTCAACTTCTGTCTGGAAAGACACCTTGAAATAGGGATCCGATAAAAATGAGGATTTAAATGCCTAGCCAGATCAGTTGCTACGCTGAGAACTAAAGACGTGATCAGAAAGAGTTTTATTCAACAGATAAATGTGTTTACAGAAGTAACCAACTTCGAGATTAGACGAACCTGTACTGGTGGTGACTCAGTCGCCCGTGTTCTGCTTCACCTCGAAGTGAAATACTTCACCGGGTAGCCGTTCCCTAAGCCCCGGTGACTCTCAGACTTCAGTCCTGAACCTTCTCCAGGCTTCTGCATGAGGAAAGCTGGAACAGATTCTTCAGTGTTCAGCTTCTCATGGTTTTAAATGAACCAGATGAAACTATTTCCATGTTTTACAACAGTCTCTGGTAATTTCCATTATTTATGAACACATTTCCCTGAAAACTTTCTCTCCAGGGATAGGATGTGAAATACTCACTTAAACAATAGAGAAAAGGGACTTTCTAAACAAAATAATGAAACTGGCAATATACCAAGAACTCTAAATTAACACAGCTGAACCAAAAATACATCTGAAGTGCTTCAAAGGTCATTTACCATGTTGTTATGAAGTAGGTAACGTATTTTTCAGGCAAAAAAAAAAAAAAATCTTATTTTTCCTTTTAAAGTACTGAGCTCTTTTTATTGTAAAACACTGTTTTCACACACAATTTTCCAAAATAATCTCGAGGCATTTTTCCACAATTTGTCTTTTCTTCAATCGATTCTGTTGTTTTATCTTGAAAAGATGGAAAATATATTTGGCTTGTTTTGTTAGGAGACAGTGAAGATGATAAACTTATTTTTCCATTTGAAAAAGGCACACAGTTCTAGCAGGCTTCAGAAATCCAGACACCTTTACCAGAAGGTATCTCCAGCCACGCAACAGCAGAAACAAAGAGCTCATAAACTGTTAGTAACTGTTCTATTAACACAACTGTTACGATCGTTCTCCCCTCGGTGACTTCAGTAGAGTGAGTCTGAAAGTACCAGTTCAATTCTGATATTAATTACAGGTCAAGTGTAATTCTGGTTTGTATTTTATATTTGGGGAAACTAAATTAAGTACAAAATATTAAAGCAATTTTGTGTTTGCAGCAGAAGTACCATCCCCAAGCTGTCCTTTTCCTCAATGGACCAGCGTGGCAGATAACTGTGTGTCTGCTAAAGGATCCAAGTATGACAGGGAGCTGTTTTAGTTTCAGAAGTAGCCACTTGAAGTTCCTCCATCTACAAAGCTTTTTATGCACGTGTCTACTCATGTGAGCCTTGAGCAGAAAGGCTCATGTGAGCAGACACGTGCGTACAATATTGCACAGAAAAATATTATCTTGTTCACAGCAGGATACACCTATTAAAAATTTGGGGTTTTTTAAATTGCTAAAGTCATTAGGATGACTCACATGGTTTAAAGGCAGATATATGCTTAATAATTTTGCTAATCGGGAGCCAAATTGCCTAATGCTTTGCGGGATTGAGCCTATGTTACAGAAAGCGTAAGTCATGTGAGGTTTTTGCCAGACAGGAGTTCGTGTATTTTGTCTGGCCCGAGCCTGCGTTTGCTTAGCACGGTTATACGCAAGCAGCATTTGTTCAGTTCATGCAGCAAATGAGACAACAAGACCTGCTTGTGCTTTTTGAGCCAAAAACACATAAATATTGCTAAATTTGGAACTCAGAAGTGGAAGGGTGTAACAGCAAATGCATGTGATCAGTCTGAACACTGCAATACACAAATGCTGTTTAACCTGCGGAATAAGTAGCCCAGGATGTTCATAAAACTGTTCTATCATCTGATGAACCTAAAATGAAAGGGATGTGGTCCAGCAAGTCTGCTAGCTTGGATAACATGTTCAGAAAACAAAAAATGTTGCAGACCACAAACCCACAAAAGAAGTTTTAACAACAGACGTTGCAAAAATTTGCCGTGTTGCAAAAGCAGAAAATCCCAATTCAGTGCTTGATAGAAATATAATCTAATAATGTATACAACTTTGAAGAGAAACAATTAAACAAAAGATTTTGCAGGAAGAGAGAAAGAAAAAGGTCAGAATTTATCATTAAATGCAAAGTACAAAAACTAAAGTAAACATGTTGTTCAGAACGCTCACTAGAAATAGCGTTGCAGAAAACACCCCCAGCCAAATCACAGCAGATATATATATATGTATTTTTAAAGGAAACATAGAAAGCCCTCATGAAATTGTGTAGAGATTAAAATAATGAGACAATCTGTACAGACAACTGATTTGTTCAGAAATGGAAGCTGGAAGAAGGGTAAAGTTAACAGGAACTTCTACCACCCCGTGTTGGAGAAGGAGATCCTTCCCAACTCCTTTCGGCAAGGAAGGGAATGGTCAAATTCTGACCCCAGCTACGTATGAGGGAGGCCCAGAACAACGACCCACCAGGCCATCGCTGGAGCCTGTGGAGTCACTGCAGACGTCTCCGCTGGAATCAAAATCAGAATTTGGCAGTAAAACAGGAGTTTCTGGTGACACAGCAAAACCCAACTTCCTTGGGCTTTTTTTTTAAGCTGTTTCTGCCCCCCCCTCCCCCCCCAAAAAAAAAGGTAGTAAAGCAATCAGTAATGCATTAGAGGATGGCAAAACATGAGTGAGAAAAAGAGCAAGGGCATAAAACTTTATGAGCAGAGACATTTTTGCTGACGGTACAGGTAGATACATAGGTTAAGTACGCTGGTAACAGATAAGAGTGCGCACACAGCCCGAGGCGAGAGGCCGTAATCACAGCGGGCAAGGAGGAGAGCCGGTGTCCGGCGGCCTTCGGAAACGCAAACACCGGGAGCAGATACCGCTGGGCAGCTGCAGGGGAAGGGCAGGACGGGGTGTTACTGTATTCTGTGGCTGGGGATCGCTGTGCACAGCCCTGCGGCCCCAGGAACCGTTCCTGGAGCGGTGCAGAAGGACTCCTTTGCACCACGCTTCTGGTGAAGTGCAACGCTCGCCTCCTGAAGGGCTGCGAGCCCGGTGGGTGGACAAGCAGGTCTCGGCTTGTTCCCCGTCCCATGAAGGCCCGGCATCGAGGCCATAAACGCTACCTCCAGAAACAAACCTCGAGCTCTCCGGCAGGCGGGGG